AATCACTTGAACCCAGGAGGCGGAAGTTGCAGTGAACCATGGGCAACAGAGTGAGACTCCGTCTCAGAGGGAAAAAAAAAAAATAACCTATTTTCTCTGATGTGAATACTTATCAACACATAATTTACAATTTTCATTCTTATTAAATTCTTTATTAGTTATAAATTACATACAGAATAAAATAAGTAAGTTATGAGAAATAATGCTATAATTTAAAGCCATGCTCTTACCACCCAATTTAGAAATAGAAATAGTACCTTGCTATTAACTTGAATGTCTTCTGAGTGTCATTTCCAAGTCCCACACTTTTTCTACCCCTTTAGAGGTAACCTTCATCCTGAATTCCTTGTTTATCTCTGCCTTCTTTTTTTAGAAAATTTTTTATTTCCATAGGTTTTGGGGAACTGGTGGTATCTGGTTATGTAAGTTCTTTAGTGGTAATTTGTGAGAATTTGATGCACCCATGACCCGAGCAGTATACACTAAACCCAGTTTGTAGTCTTGTACCCTTCACCCCCTCCCACCTTTTCCTCCAAGTCCCCAAAGTCCATTGTATCATTCTTGTATCATTCTTATGCCTTCGCATCCCCATAGCTTAGCTCCCACTTGTGAGTGAGAGCATACGATGTTTGGTTTTCTATTCCTGAGTTGCTTTACTTAGAATTACAGCCTCCAGTTCCATCCAGATTGCTGCAAATGGCAGTAATTTGTCCCTTTTTATGCCTGAGTAGTATTCCAAATATATACTATATTCTGAGTATATAGTGTGTATATATATGTGTGTGTGTGTGTGTGTGTATACACACACACATCACAATTTCTTTATCCACTTGTTGACTGATGGGCCTTTGGGCTCGTTCCATATTTTTGCAATTGTGAATCATGCTGCTATAAATATGCATGTGCTGTTATAAATATGCATCTTTTTCAAATAATGACTGCAATTGTGAATCGTGCTGCTATAAATATTAATCATGCTGCTATAAATATGCATCTTTTTCAAATAATGACTTCTTTTCCTCTGGGTAGATACCCAGTAGTGGGGTTGCTGGATCAAATGGTAGTTCAATTTTTAGTTCCTTAAGGAATCTTCTGTAGTAGTTATACTAGTTTCCATTCCCCCAGCAGTGTAGAAGTGTTCCCTTTTTACCACAGTCATGCTAACATCTATTACTTTTTAATTTTTTTATTATGGCCATTCTTGTGGGGGTAAGGTAGTATCGCACTGTGGTTTTGATTTGCATTTCTCTGATTATTAGTGATGTTGAGCATTTTTTCAAATGTTTGTTGGCCATTTGTATATCTTCTTTTGAGAATTGTTTATTCATATGCTTAGCCCACTTTTTAATGTGATTATTTGGTTTTTTCTTGCTAATTTATTTGAGTCCTTTGTAGATTCTGGATTTTAGTCCTTTGTCAGATGTATAAATTGTGAAGATTTTCTCCCACTCTGTGGGTTGTCTGTTCACTCTTCTGGCTGTTTTGTTTGCTGTGTAGAAGCTTTTCTTTTCTAGTTTTATCCCATGTATTTTTATTTTTATACAATATATCATTCAATTTTGCAATTTAATTTACATGAAAGAATTCATACTGTATTTTTCCAGGGCATTATTTTTGTTCAGTGTTAGGTTTCTGAGGTTATCAATGTATCAATATTTCCAATGGCTCTAATTCATTTTTTCTCTCTCTGTCATTTCTCTACTGTTGTATAGTATTCCTTTTGGTAAATATGCTACCATTTGTTTATCCTATTAAAAATACAATGGATATTTGTGGTTTTTTCCCAGGAATCTTTTCAATTCCAATGTACTACAATGAACACACTTGTGTATATCATATGGTACACATGTGTAAAAGATTTTTTAACTGTGTACTTCCTGGATCACAGAGTTTGAACATTTTAAGTTTATTAGAAACTGCTGAATTATTTTTCAAAATAGTTTTTACCAATATACATTTATATCTGCATTCTACACACATTCTAGTTGCTCAGAAATGCCAACATTTGATATTACCAGGCTTTGTAAACTGTAAATTCAATGGGTTTTATTTGTATCTCATGGTGTTTTAATTTGCATTTCCCACAACTATGAGGTTAAGCATTTTTTCATGTGTTTATTCACCATTTATGTTTTCTCTTGTATAAAGTGCCTTTACTAGGTTTTTGATTAATTTTCTATTTGGTGTTTTGACTCTCTTTCCTATGATATGCATGAGTTTCTTACATATTCTAGAAACAAATCCTTTGTCAAGTTTATGGTCCTTTTCACTATCTTTATGTGACTTTTGATGACCAAAAATTCTTAATTTTAATGAGGCAGAATTTATCAATTTTATATATTAAGGTTAGTGATTTTTTATGTCTGGTTTAAGATTATCCTCCCATACTCTTAGCTCAAAAATATATTCTATTTTATTGCCTCCTAAACATTTTATATTTTTTCCTTTCATATTTAGGCAACAGTAATTGATTTTTTTTGGTATAGTGTAAGTAGATATTCAATTTCATATTTGTTCATGTGGATCATTCCAGCATTATTGATTTAAGAATCAGTTTTTCCCTCACTGATCTGCTGTGTCAGCTCCATGTGTTTATATATGTCAATTGTATGCATGTACAGTTTTGTCATATATACATGTATTTCATGTTCATTGGCCCCTTTCCTATCTTTGTACCAATGCTACAGCCTTAAGTACCACAGATTTAACAATAAATATTGATAGGGCAACTTTATCAACTTCATACCTTTTTTCCAAGTGTATCATGGCTATGTTTGGCCTTTGTTCTATTCTATAAATTCAGAATCAGCTTCTCAAGCTTCAGGCATATACATAAAAAATACTGGGGATTTTATTGGAATTACATGGAATCCATAATTATCTTGAAGAGAACTGACATATTTATTGTATTGAGTCTACTAATTTTTCTGTTTATGTAAGGTTACTGTAAAATTTTTCAATACAGTTTTATATTTCCATTAAGGTCTTTCAAGTGTTGTGATAGATATACCCCTTAGTACTTTGTCTTTCATAGTATATAAATAATATACTTTAGACTATATTTTAAACATATGATTGTTGTATAGAGATATACAATTGAATTTTGTATACTGGCTTTGCATTCAATAAACTTATTAAACTCTCTTATTAATTGTAATAATCTGCGGACACCTTACAATTTTTTTATATGAACCCACGTATCATCAGCAATTAATGACAGTTTTATTTCTTCTCTCTCATTTCTAAAATTGCTTTCCTGTCTTACTGCACTGACTAGGACATCTAGTATAATATTATATACAGTTTAATATACCGGGTGTCCTTTTAAATTATCTGATCTTAAAGCAAATGTGCCCAGTGTCTCACTATTAGGTATAATGTTTAATATAGATTTTTGTAGATCTTCTTTGTTAAGAAAGGAAATATTCTTCTCTTCCTAGTTGCTAAGGACTTTGTCACATATGTGTCACTTATGTTGAATCAGATGATTATATTTCTCATATTCTTTAACCTGGGCATAGTGACCTGTCCCTGCTGAACCACAAGGAGGTGAAAACTAAAACTTGCATTCTGGCTGCAGCAAATATCTTTAAGGAACAAGCCAGGTGCAGTGTTCTTTTTCCGTTTGAGTTCCTGTTTCCACTCAGGTGTGAGATGTTCTTCAAATCCCTTACTTTCTTGCTAGTTTTATGTTGCATTCTTTAAAAGGATACATTTATATTTTATCCAGAATTTTTGGTTGTTTTCAGTGGTGGATAGCTCATTGCATTTAGTCCACTGTGCAAGAAATAGAAGTTTTCCCTTTCTTTTTTGTCAAAATAATATCCCTCATTTCTTGAAGCACATTTCCTTTAGATTTCCCTTTCTATCATCATTTGGAAATTTTAACTTTATCCAATCTAGTTATTTATATTACTTTCCAAACCTTCTCCTCCCAACTTTCCAATTTCTTAATAGTTTTACATATTTCCTTAAGATTGAGGTTGGTCAATTGTATGCATAGACTGTTTTGTCACATACTTAAACCTCTTTTTGTCTATCTCAGAGACAATAATATTTTCAGTTTATGAAGGCAAAGTATGTGCTCTCTTCTCTTTTTGACCACCTTGGAATTCAATAACTACATATTCCAGTTGCTGAGTGCATTTTGTTGTTCCTTTAGTAAACCTGGTATGATTGATGATCAAATCCTTCTAGCTTCCGTTTCTATATAAATGGAAAATATATCATGGGAAATTTAATAAGCCCTCCTATGGACAGAACTCTATTTCATACAAATGTTTATGCATACTGAAAAATTCTTAGCGAAAAATGAAAATCAGAAGAATATTTCATTCTCTTTTTGTTGCATGAAGCATTTCTGGCCAATCATACTGGCTCACGCCTGTAATCCCAACTCTTTGGGAGACTAAGGCAGGAGAATTGCCTGAGGCCAGAAGTTTGAGACAGCCTGGGCTTCCTAGCCAGACCTCATCTCTACAGAATATTTTAAAAATTAGCCAGGCATAGTGGCACATGCCTGTAGTCCTAGCTATTTCAGAGGCAGAGAAAGGAGGATTGTTTGAGACCAGGAGTTCAAGGTTACAGTGGTCAATGATTGCACCACTGCACTCCAGGCTGGGTGACAGAGCAAGACCCTGTCTTTTAGGGAAAAAAGAAAAGCATTATTGCTTCTCCTTGCTTTGCTCAATATTTTGATTGTTTATAGTACTCATTGTTTTCTAATATGGTATATAGTTTTTATTTATTATGTTTGTTTCTATCTTCCCCCAGTAAAATATAAGTTCCACAAGGGCAGAGGTATAATCTGTTTTGTGCATGACATATCCCAAACAGTGCCTGACACAGAGTAAATGCTCAATAAATATATGTTGAATGAATCAATGGTGTACAATATTTGCATAAACAAATAGTAAAAAGAAAAATAAAAATTCATGATTTACTTTTCTCAAATGGTTTCATATTTTCTTAATCAGTGCTGTTTTATTTTATGCTTTCAGATATCAACATGGCAGGAGAGCCCAAACCATACAGACCAAAACCTGGAAACAAGAGGCCCCTTTCTGCACTTTACAGGTAAGTAGATAAGCACTGTTTTACTCTACGTATTCGTGAAATTTTCTTGCAGCTTTATAAGGCAATATAACTTGTAAGGCATCCACTATTTTAAATAATAATCCTTATGGGAATAAAGTTCAACAAATGTTGTTGGTCAACATATAAATATATCTTGCTGCATTGGGAAGGATCTCAGATGCCTAACCTTCTCATATCTGCCTATACAACCCTTCTACAAGATACTTATCTAATAAAAATCACTAATAACTCTCCCTGACAAGTGGGTGGAAAGGTCAATGTTGGTTGACTTTTTTTCTTCTTCTTCTTCTTTGAGATGGAGTCTCTCTCTGTTGCCCAGGCTGGAGTGCAGTGGCACAATCTCAGTTCATTGCAACTTCTGCCTCAAAGGTTCAAGCGATTCTCCTGCCTTAGCTTCCCAGGAAGCTGGGATTGCAGGCGCCCACCATCACAGCCAGCTATCATTATTATTATTTTTTTAGTAGAGACAGGGTTTTACCATGTTGGCCAGGTTGATTTCGAACTTCTGACCTCAGGTGATCTGCCTGCCTCGGCCTCCCAAAGTGCTGGGATTACAGGCGTGAGTCACCACGCTCGGCCCTTGGTTGACTATTAACTGCATACCATATTCTATAGCTATTTTATATATGTTGGTTAATTTAATTTTCACAAGGTTCTTGCAGCATAGATATTCCTGTTCTCATAATGCAGCTCAGGAACCTCAGATGCAGTTTCTTAGTGATTTTTCTCAAGGTCACACAGCTGGTTAAAAATGTCACCAATACTCAGACTCATGCCCTCTGTACCTTAAATTCTTTCCACTCAGTCAGCCTTGTTTATTACAAAGTACATGTTTCTCTCATGCCCGTTTTTCCCAGACAACAAATATAGTCCTTCTCTTCTGCAGAGAGACAGATCCAATTCCTTTAACCTTTCCTGAAGTGCTTGGGTCTGAGTCACTTAACACTCTGGTCTTTCCCCTCTGCATGCCCCAATTTGTCAGTGTCTATATCTATACTGAGAATCCAGGTGGAGAGTGTAGACTAGACTTAGCACCTTTGTTGTTCTGTACATACTTCTATTATGTTAAGTAGACTTGAGTTGACTTGGGGAAGAGTACAGGAGTAAACTTATATAACTTTCAGTTCTTTAAAAACAGCCACTTCTGAAAAGAAATTATGTTCTGCTGTTAAACCATATGTCCCACTTCATGTACTTTTGCCATTAGTTTTTGTACTGTAAGTGCTGACTTTGTGTCTATCGCAGTTAAATTCTCTTTTGTTAGATATAGCCAATTGTTCCAGGCTATTGAGATCTCCTATCATCCAATTTATTTGGTTTTCTCCCAGATACATATCATCAGTCCATCAGCATCCACATCTGAAGAGTTAACATAGAAGTGTTGAGCAAGGCTTCCTTTTTCTCTGATATCATTTGGATAAAGGAGAATTAAGTTGTATGTGTTAAAATTGATTATTTTCTGATTTAGTGTAGTGAGAAGAGTGCTCAAATATAGCCTGGACCACTTTCCTTGTTTTTGTCCTTTGAAAACTAGCATATCTTCTTTTCAGCCATTTATAGCCTCATTTTCTGAACTCTAAGATGAGGGTCAGAACTAGATCACTTCTAAGGTCCTAGTCATCCCCAGTACCACAGGGCTCTCCACTGTATGCTATTCAGAGATTTTTAAAGCTATACTGAAAAATACATCATAATTTCTCTTATTTTGGTTGATTTAGTTTTAATAAAACATTTTCTTAAAGATGGAAAGCAATAGAATGTAACAAATATTGATAGTGGATCATGGGGTAATATTAACATTAAAGAGCAGAGATTATGTTATCAACAAGAAGCAAATGACACATTCTGTACCTTGTTTGAGGTAAAGGAGACGATTTATAAAACTAAGAAATGCAAATTACATTATCAGATTCATTTGTAAATATATACATTAGAGCTGCAGCTAATGCAGAACATTTGAAAAGTCATATTTTCAATTACTGTTAAAACAAGCTGCCAATGGCTTTTTTTCTCATCAAAGAGTTGCTACTGTCTGTGCAATGGTGTTAATTTTCATATTTTCTCTTTTCTTGGATTGTTTTGATTTTCTTATGAGAATGGAAGCTCATGACAAGAATAAATGTCATTTTAACTATTATTTCTGTATTACTGTGATGTTCAATTGTGTTCAGAAGAATTAGAAGCAGAATTTCATTTAAACATGCTATACTGTATACAAGCCACATTAGTGAGAAAGTGCTTATTTATCCTCCTTTTATCTGTTTATACAAATTAAGGCTGTGGTACACTGAAATTGCAAAACAGTAACAAAGGAAATGCAAGAACGTGAATGTATAGCTGAGGAAGCCCTCCTATACACATTTTCTCATTCTCACATAAGCTTAAAAAAATTACCTTAATTTTATGTGGATAAACTATGTTTTCATAGTCATTATTCATCTGTTCATCAGATAACTCTACAAAATTGGTAGTATATACTATGCTGTATAAATGAGAAACCTGAGTTTCCAAAATGATAAAGGTTTGTTCAAGACGAGATCACAGGACTAGGAAATGAGCTCTGGTTTTCAGCCTTCATGTGTAGTATTCTTACCACTAGATTACAGCTCCCTGTATTTAGTCACTTGCTACCATCTAAACAACACAGATAGGGAAAGTAGAGATCTTCTGAGTCTCAAACCAATCATCAATACTATTAACTGTCCATGAATACCATGCCAGCAAGTGGCAGAGGAAATACTATACAATAAACACTACATAAGAAAAACAGAGATACCACCTATTTGTGTGATCATAGGGCACTGGTTTTAAGCTTCAAGTAAGTTCTTTTTGTAACATAATAGTTGTATAATTTTCCTGATAGGATAAAGTTGCATAAATGGGGTAAAAGCACTTAGTTCAATGTAGAGAATATAGTGGCGGTTGGAAAAGGAATAGTTTCTGCTTTCCTGTTCTTTGCATCTCTGAGTCTGGTTTTTTTTTGTTTTTTTTTTGTTTGTTTGTTTGTTTGTTTTGGTGGTGGTGGTGTTTGTTCGTTTTTGAGATGGTGTCTCGATCAGTCTCCCAGGCTGGAGTGCAGTGTCGTGATTTTGGCTCACTGCAAGCTCCGCCTTCCAGGTTCACACCATTCTCCTGCCTCAGCCTACTGAGTATCTGGGACTACAGGAGCCCACCACCACACCTGGCTAATCGTTTGTATTTTTAGTAGAGACAGCATTTGACCATGTTAGCCAGGACGGTCTCGATCTCCTGACCTTGTGATCCTCCCACCTCGGCCTCCCAAAGCACTGGGATTACAGGCATGAGCCACCACACCCGGCTTCTGAGTCTGTTTTCTTATCTGTAAAATGCAAGAGGGGGAATCATTTCATTTGTTCATTCATTCATTCATTTATACAAGATATATTTATTATGTATTTAGTCTAGGGACTGTAATAGTGCTTTTCTTAGGAAACTAGCATAGAAAATGGCAAGAGCAGGGTGAAGAGAGAGCATAACGTAATGAACAGATTATTTGTATGAAGTTATTTGTATGAAGGTAGTCTCTGATTTACCTTCCTGCTCTAAACTGCTATGTCTCTATAACTATTCTATTTGAACCACCAAGTGAACTGCCACCAGACTTTCTTCTTCACATACATCCACTTTATCTCCATTACCAATCACGAAGTGGTGTTCACATGAAATATCCACTGAGGCATAACTTTGATTTGCTTCTTCTTTTAATAGGATTTTCAACTCAGCCAAGCACCCTTCAATAAGGCCCTATTATGTGCTAAGTAAACATGGTATACATAGAAAATAAAAGAGTGAGACTTCAAAAAGCTTACAGTCTTATGCATGAGTTAGATGCACAGATGAATAAAGACAACTGAGAAGTATGCATACACTTCTATAAGAGAATAAATGAGGAAGTTACTGATTCTGCCTAGGGGTAAGGGAGTAAAAAACATCTGGAAAGTTAAAGGAAGAAGACAACACTTGAGCTGGCTTTTGAAGGGAAAAAGAGCAGGAAGGGCATCTCATAGTAGGAGCTAGTATAGCCTACTTGGTGGGGAATGGAAAACTGGGACATTATGGTGCCCAGGCTGTGAACATATCCATATATCAGGTTAAGGAGAGCTGACTTTTATTCTGTAGGCAACAAGGAACCACTTAAACATGGTGACTGATTGGAAGTGGGGTGTGAGGAGAGTGAGAGTCACACATATGTCCAAGGTTTTCTACTTCAGGCTATTGAGGGAATGATCACATGAGCAGAATAGAAGAAATAGGAAACACATGATAAGCAGTGGCAGGCTCAAGTGTAAGGTCGAGGAAAGGGAGCAAAAAGGAATTATGTCAGTCTTGGACATGAATTCATAAAGACAGACAATTCATTAAAATAGCACTTGCAATAAAAATGTCTCCCATTAGAGTCTATTTGTAAATGAAACATAATTAATCATTTGTGAACATTTCATAAATATTGGACCTGGTCCTAATGGTGAATAGCTAATCCATTCTCTAGGGAAAACATTGTAACTTTTAATAAATTGCTGCTTCAAATATGTTATGTACATTACACAGTATCTGTGGCACTCTAAAATAATAATTCTCCCCCAGGATGTGAGTTTTCCAGCATGCCAACTTTCAATTAATGCTCAATAATTGCTAAATGAGAATAATTGTATGATGGTTTTGCTTCTATTTGTAAAGTAGACAGACCTTTCCTCCTTGATGGAAAGCTAACAAAAAATATCAGAGAACAAAGACACTATTTATCAGAGCCGAACAAGAATGGATTTTTATTCACCCAGAGCTGACTCCCTCCTACTTGCAGGGAACTCAGCTCAGTAAGACATGTAGTATATATAGTTTCATCCCGTTGATTCTGTAAAAATCAATCATCTGGTACCATTGCCAAATATCACTTTTGGCTATCATACAAATGCCTCTTGTAGCAACCTTCCCATCCCACCCAGATGACCATGAGAATC